TGTTCTTCGAGGGTGACACTATCTCGAAGTTGGTCCAAATTTTGGGCCTTCATATAAAAGGTCACCAAAACTAAATAGATGAACGCAATTAAATGTAACGCCATTTATTCTAATCTACAATAACTAGTCTACAATAATTAACAACCACAAGGTCCATCTGACTCAGCATTTTGAAATGAGAAGATAAATAAAAATTCCACGGACTTTCTGTTTCATGTAATAGTTTTGTAATAAATATTAATTATAATATAGTTTCAAAATGTGATATCACGGAATAAACTACAATATATTATCTGAAAAATATTTCATTACGGTGCAAACATTGTCGTATTTGTTTTGTACAAAACTTTTTAAATTGTAAAATTTTAATTGTTAAATTGTAAATGTCCACTACTTGCTCTCAAAATGTTTCACTTTTACCTATTATTTTCAGAAGAAATACTACACTTTTGGTCAAGAGTTTGATAAATATTGGATTCATATACAGATTCGATGAAGACTTGAATCTTTTGTGTTTGTCAATCACTATGAATATCAACTCAAATCTATTGACATGGACTTCGATGACTGCAGTACTGATGAAGTGATCCAAGTGTTGACACAGTTATCACATCTGAAAGTCTTAACCAAATTAACTCTTCGTATGGATAATCATAACACACCTATCATTGAACCGCTTATTGATTGTATGAAACAGTTGGCCATTGAATGCAAATTTATTAAGAGATTGTGTTTAAAGTTAATTAACATAAGTGGACCAGAATTTGCTTATATATACAGATCTATCAAATGGTTTAATGGGTTACAAGCACTGGATTTGATTTGTAATTTTGAGGATATATACCATGAAAATGATATATTAGTTATCAAATCGCTGTCACAATGCAAACAATTCATGCATTTGTCGGTAGAGTTTGGCAATTATTTATTGAGTGACGGATTCTTGGACTCAATTCACACATATTTACCACACATTCAGACATTGAATATAAGAGATGATCTGGTGATGAGCGCTGGTATTGAGAAATGTATGAAACATATGCCTAAACTGAAAATATATCACGGATTTGACAAAAAGTTATTTAATTGAATTTAAATAACTTCATTAAATATTAAGATTTTTAAATAAAACTTTATGTTTAATTAATAATTATTTCAATTACTTTATATATGTTTCTATTTATTGCAAACATAATTAAGTATTGAATTTCAAACAAAATCATTGAACACAAGAATTGAATGATAGAATAAGTGGAGGTTTAGTTAACCTCATCGATGGTGGGACCGCAACCAGAGGCGCCTCCGGGAGCAGAGCCGGCGGTCTGGTAGAGCCTAATGATGATGGGATTACACACGACTTCCATCTCCTCCTTCTTGCGCTCGAACTCCTCCTTCTCTCTCAACTGATTCGTGTCCAACCAATTGAAGGCATCATTCACTTTGTCGAGAATCTTCTTGCGGTCTTCTTCGGGGATCTTATCCCTCACTTTGTGGTCCTCGACCGTCAACGTCATGTTCTATGCGTACCCCGAGAGCGTATTCTTGGCTCCCATGCGGTCCTTATGTCTGTCGTCCTCCTTATACCCCTCCGCCTCCTTCACCATCCGCTCGATCTCTGCGTTGGAAAGCCTTTCCTTATGGTTAGCAACGGTTATCGTATTCTCTTCGCCGCCAGTCTTGTCAACGGCCCACACATTGAGAAAGTTGTTGGCGTCGACATCAAAGGCCACCTCAATCTGAGGCACACCTTTGGGCGCCGGAGGAATGCCTGTTAACCAGAATTTGCCCAAAAGGTTGTTATCTCGAGTCATGGCTCCCTCCCCCTCATACACCCAAACGGGAACTACCGACTGATTGTCCGAATCGGTAGTCAATGTCTGGGTCTGACGGGTGGGGATAGTTGTGTTGCGTTTGATAACAGTGGTCATCACTCCATCCGCACTCTCAATGCCCAGTGACAGGGGGGTCACGTCGAGCACCAGGAGATCCTGCACGGCTTCACTCCTGTCGCCGTTGAGGATCGCCGCCTGAACTGCGGCCCCGTATGCGACCGCTTCGTCCGGATTAACGCTTTTGTTCAGTTGTTTACCGCCGAAGAAGTCTTGAAGAAGTTTTTGGATTTTGGGGATCCGTGTCGACCCGCCCACCAGTACGATGTCGTGCACCTGACCCCTGTCCAGCTTGGAGTCCCTCAACGCCCTCTCCACCGGTTCCAGAGTCGACCGAAACAGGTCTGCGTTCAGCTCTTCAAACCGGGATCTCGTGATCGTTGAGTAGAAGTCGATGCCATCGAAGAGTGATTCCATTTCGACGGACGCCGAAGTGGAGGTCGAGAGCGTCCTCTTCGCGCGCTCGCAGGCAGTCCTCAGCCGACGCATCGCTCGCTTATTCACCGACAAATCCTTTCGGTGCCGGCGTTTGAACTCACGTACGAAATGGTTGACGAGTCGGATGTCGAAGTCCTCGCCTCCCAAATGCAAGTCTCCGGCCATTGACTTCACTTCAAAGATACAGTCTTCGATGGTCAGGACCGACACGTTGAGCGCACCGCCGCCTAAGTCGAAGATAAGGACATTGCGCTCTCCATGATCTCCCTGACCCCTAATGTCGAACCCGTACGCAAAGGCGGCGGCCGTCGGCTCACTGATAACCCTCAGGACATTGAGACCACTGATAGTTCCCACGTCTTTGATCGCCTGACGCTGACTCTCGTTGTAAAGGGCGGGCACTGACACCACGGCATTGGACACGTGTGCGCCCAGGTATGCCTCCGCGATCTCCTTCATCTTCATCAACACCATCGCTGAGATCTCTTCGGGAGAGAAGTACTTCGACTCTCCCTTATAGTCCACTTTGATCTTAGGTTTGCCCGAATCCGACACCACATCGAAGGGCCAGTGATTCATATCTGACTGAACCGGGAGGTCATCAAAGCGCCGACCAAACAGTCTCTTGGCGTCAAACACCGTATTCGACGGATTCATATTCACCTGATTCTTAGCCGCGTCTCCAATCAGTCGCTCCGTGTCTGTGAACGCCACGTACGAGGGCGTCGTCCTATTGCCCTGGTCATTGGCGATGATCTCCACTTTACCATGTTGAAACACTGCCACACACGAGTAGTTTGTGCCCAAGTCTATGCCTATCGCCGGTGTCTTTGCCATTGTCGAGGATATTGAAGGTATTGGATGATTTCAACGGTATCACCAAATATATAGTAACTATAATATAGTTATCAACGAATGAATGGACGCTCAGTTGAGACTAACTGCAAGTAAATCACTATTTATGGTACTAAGCTACAGTTAATTGCTAATAATACAGTACCATAATAATATAATTTATACCAATAAGCACTAGTAGACAACATTTATAATTTTGTAATATTATATTTTTGATGATATGATATCATTCATTACGAAAGTAGTATTACTAATACTGTATTAGAATCTAATAATTAGATAATAATGTAATCGTATTTATTTACTAACATTAGATAAAAATATCAACATCTATGCAAAATAAATTATACTTATTCCAGTGAATATTGTCAACTTATTTTGAGTTTTAAAAATAACAATAATTGTGTAGAATATTTATATTTAGTAAAAAAGTAATTTATTTAAACAATATTTTGGTATACACAAGTTAAATGCTCAGTTAGGTTTACGTTAAAAACAAGTGAATATTTTAATTTCATCTTGATTTTGGGTCAAATTAAGTCTCTTTCGGTGAAATCCGTGATATATTTCCAGTTTAGGCAACCGTTTCATACAATTCTCAATACTGGTGCTCATCACCAGATCTTTCTTACCATTCATATGCAACGTCTGAATGTGCGGTAAATGTGTGTGAATTGAGTCAAAGAATCTCGCATTCAATACACAATTTTGCAAATCGAGTGACAAATGTGTTAATCGTTTGCATTCCGGCAGTAATTCAATGACTACATTATTTTGAGCCTCAATCTCAAAATAGCAAATTAAATCAAGTGCTCGTAGTTTTGCAAACAATTGGATTGATGTGAATATTAAAGGGAATTCTCGACGCCGTATATACAGTAATGTTAAACATAATCGCGTAATATGTTTGCATTGAATGGCCAACTGTTTCATACGATCTATAACGCGTTCATCGATTGTCAAAATAATACAATTCATACGTAGAGTTAATTTTATTAAGCTTTTCAGATGTGATATCTGTGTCAATGCATTGACTACCTGGTCAATAAAGCAGTCACCGATGTCTATATCAATAGACTTGAGTTGATATTCATAGTGATTGACAAACACTTTCAAATGTTTCAAATCAGTAGCGCTTCTGTATCTATTAATAAATTGACTGTTTGTCAAACTTTTAACAATTAGTTTATTATTGCTGTTGAAAATGACAGACAAATCAAATGAACTAATTTCCGGAAAAGTAGTGGAAAGTTGTCTGAGATTTGTGCACAAATTTACGTACTGTTTAAATACATCTATAGCCAGGTTACTATTGCACCCGAGGGTAATATCAGTTAATCTTGAGTCGTGTTTACGTAATATTGTGCCCATTATTATGGAGTCAACTCTGGGAACAAACCGCACGTGAATTGTCTTCAAGTGTTTGTATGAATTCATGAGTCTTTCAAAGACTCGTTCCGTTGTTTCCGAATAGATCTCAATATCAATGGATGTAATGTTTGTACACTTTCTCACCACTAATGACAATAACCGCAGCGATCTTATGGGCNTATGAATTCATGAGTCTTTCAAAGACTCGTTCCGTTGTTTCCGAATAGATCTCAATATCAATGGATGTAATGTTTGTACACTTTCTCACCACTAATGACAATAACCGCAGCGATCTTATGGGCAAAAACGTGAGCTGTTTCTCAGATAGTATAATAGTGTCCACATTCTTGAACACTAATCGCTGCCACTGTTTGAACAGACATTCAAATCGGAAACAGTCTTCAAATGATAGGTAAGACAATAGGAGTCCACACAAGTCATCACCGAATCTGTCCAACGAGTCTGTGGGATAATATTCCTCTTGAGTCCTATTCGTTGACATCTTTTGTCAAAACATACATACATTTAATTATACTTAATAAATAGTATTTGTTATACCAATATAATGAAATCCACAATTAAAATCATAAACAAGTGAACAGAAAATTGTATTTATTGTTTGAGAGCACCTGTAGGCTTGACTATATGCAAAGTTAAGTAAACTAGTTTTGAACAGGATTTTGGATTAAGATTAGCATTTTGGTATATTTTCTAATCTACTTTATTTATAATCTGTTTTTCATTTGCACTTAAAATAATTTTATAAAAAGTATTAGTAATACTGTATTACATAGAAACATAAGCATAGAAATGACAGTAATTGTGTAGAAATAGTATAATAATTTATTTAAACAACAGTTTATGATATAATATTAGTACTTTATAGTTAATAATAGTTTAATAGTTCAGTTTATGTCATAAAAAGTTAATTTTTAAAATTACATTTTAATATTTCATTCAATTAAATCTCTTTCTGTGAAATCCGTGAAATATTTTCAGTTTAGGCATCCGTTGTATCAAATTCTCAATACCGGTGCTCATCACCAGGTCATCCCTTATATGCAATGTCTGAATGTGTGGTAAATGTGTGTGAATTGAGTCAAAGAACCGCTCATTCAATACACAACTCTTGAACTCCAGTGACAAATGTGTTAATTGTTTGCATTCAGACAATGGTTTAATAATAGTATCCATATCTGAGTAAATATCACTAAAATATAAAATCAAATCCAATTCTTTTAAACCTTTAAACCATTGAATAGATGGCAATATATTAGCGAATTCTTGTCCCAATATATTCACTAACTTTAAGCACAATCTCTTGATTTGTTTGCATTCAATGGCCATATGTTTCATACAATCTATAAGCAGTTCATCGATCGACACAACATCGCAGTCCATACGAAGAGTTAGTTTTGTTAAGACTTTCAAATGTGGTAATTGTGTCAACCCGTCGACCACTTCTTCAGTATCGCAGTCCTCGAAGTCTATGTCAATAATCTTGAGTTGATTTTCGTATTGATTGACAAACTCTTCCAATAGATCCGAGTCTTCGTCGCCTCTGTATATGAATCGAGTGTTTGTCAGACTTTTCAATAAAACTTTTGTTTTCGTTATGTTATACAAAATGACCGATAAATCTAATAAACTATTTTGGGGACAAGTAGTGGACAGTTGTCTGAGGTTTATGCAGTAGTAGGCGTAGTGTTTGATTACTTTGACAGCCAGGTCATTATGAGATCCGATAGTAATGTCAGTTAATCTATTGTCGTGTTTACGGAATATTGTGTCCATTATATGACAGTCAGCTTTGGGAACAAACCGCACGTGAATTGCATTCAAATTCTTGTATGAATTGACGAGTATTTCAAACACCCTTTCAGTCGCTTCCGAATTGATCTCAATATCAATGGATGTAATGTTTGTACACTTTGTGACCACTGATGACAATAAGGGTTTGAATCTTATGGGCATATTCTTGAGCTGTTTATCTGATAGCATAAGAGTGTCCGCATTCTTGAATACACATCTCTGCCACTGTTTGGACAGACATTCAAATCGGAAACAGTCTTCGAGTGACAGATAAGACGTTATGAGAGCACACATATCATCACCGAATCTGTCCGATGAGTACTTCGGGTAATATTCCTCTTGAGTCCGATTCGTTGACATTTTGAACAAAAATAAAAATTGTTAAACAAATACTTAAAGAGCAATAAAGTTGTAAACAAGTGATCAGTAAATGAATAGTAATTTGTTTGAATGAGAGCACGTGTGTGGGTATTACGTGAACACATGTATCAGTACAGTCTCAAGGTAGTCACTT